GAGTTTGCTATTGAGGCTTCCTATGGAATTTTTCAGTGAAGTCATGTGTTCTTTTGCTCCAGAATTTCTGTTTGGTTCTTTTTTATGGGTTCTCTTTTTAGAACTCTTCATTTTGCTCAAGTGTTGTTTTCCCGATATCATTTAGTCGTCTCTCTATGTTCTCCTGCTCACTGAACTTCTTTAAGACAATTATTTTGAGTTCTTTGCCACTCATTTCATAGATCAGCATTTGTTTAGGTCAGTTATTGGTGCTTTATTTTGTTTTGTTAGTCGTATTATTCATTATTCTCATTGCCTTGTTTTGGTGTTGTCACTTGAAAAAGTAGGCACTTATTCCAGTCTTTGAAGACTGGGTTTGGCAAGTAAAACCCTTCACTAGTCAGCTCATTCAGATCTTCTTGGTGGGTTGGCTGGTGGGGTTCAAGTCTATGGCTGCTACTGAAGTCCTTGGGTGGACTTGCTGGATGTCTGAGTCAGCAGGTATGTGGTTTTGGTTACTGGATCCACAGGGGCCAACTTAGTGCCTGAATTATCTGGAGTGGTCCTGGGTCCTGGTTCTACTGGAGTAGGCCTGAAGTTGGTTCTGTGTTGACATGTATGGGGTCTAGGTCTTTGAGGGAGAGCCAGGAGTCTGGGGGTATAAGTTCTAGTTTGGTTCCATAGTTTGTTGGGTCCCTGGCAGGACATCCCTCTGGAAGACATCTGAGTTCATGAGAATGGACCTGGGGTTTGGGTCCTTGGGGGCTATACTGAAGTCTGAGTCCATGGGAGCTGGTACTGCAACGGGCCTGGGTCTGTAGCTCTAAGTCTTCCTGCAAGTTTCTGTTGTGAATGGACTTGTTGCCTTCCTGGTTATGTCAATTCTCTGAATAAGCCCTCTCCCTCCATGACTTACAAGATTTCAGTTTTTTGTCATCTCTAAATCTTTTATTGTCACTTTTATAGGGTTAGGATGAGGATAGTGATAAATGTATATGTATAACCTAACATGTTTAATGGGTGGTTTAGAACTATTTTTCTAAATGACATTATTAAAAATTTATATTGGTATATGTCTTATACTAATTTAATAGTATAAAAATGTGTATAATTATATATATATATATATAATTTGAGAGTGTACTTAAAATATTTCCTAATGGAGGTATTGAATAAAAAATACCTAAAAACTACACATTTTGAGAGTAAATATTAAATATTTGAAAAATCTTAGTATATAAAAATAGAAATTGATCTGTGGTTTCCTTAAATAATGAATACTAAAAGTTTCACAAGAGCAAAATGTAACAAATTCAGTGATAAAGCTTGGTATACACACAAAACCAAATGTCTTAGATTAACTACCTGAATTTCCAGAAGGTGCTACTGAGTAGAATTTCAGGAATCTTTTTCAGCCTGAATTATGGGAGAATCTTCTTACTATTAGAACTCTCCAAAAATGAAATGGGCTGATTTGAGTTTTTTAAAATTTTAATAATATGTTTTATTCTCTTTCTTTTCATCATGTGCATTTATGTGTCATCTTCAGAGATACTGTATATAAGATTTTTGGATGATTTATTGGGCTACAAAAATTCTAAAGTCCCTCCTAAGTCTGATATTCTGTGATTTAAAATGGAATCTAAAGTTACAAAATGCCATAGTATGATCAGTTTTGAAGAGGCAAAACAGAATTCAGAGTGATAGTTATGTGTGCAATGTATTTTGTAATTATAGCTTCATCTTTACTGTTTATAGCTAAAATTTTATCTCATTGACATGGCTTACAGAAGGTGTTCTCAACAGAGCTTATATAGAGATCCTTGATTCTTTCAAAGCAAGGGCTTGTCTTGGTGAGAAAGACATCCATCCCTTTCACTGGGCTGTTTTTCATGTGGTACAAAAGTAATTAGATGTCAGGCTTTACTAGCATAGTTTTAAGTCTTATCTTGAGGACACCTAAGGCTTATTTAATACCCGGGCATCAGTCAATTAGACCAAAAAAAAAAAAAAAAAAAGAAAACAAGAAAAAAACAAGTCAATTTTATGAGTCTACATGAGTCAGGCATTTGATTATCCTGAGAAAACAGGGGTCTGTCTGCTTTCACTGAAGCTTTCCTCTGCAATCGATTAACTGCTGACTCTTGTTCTATTGACCCTCACTAATTTGTTGCATGATCTGTCATTCCTTATCTAGAGTAAAAGGAGACTCCTCTGTAAATATAAACAGTTGATGAGGTTAAGGGGAACTCAATCTATTCTGGTGTCAGTTAATGTTCATAGTGTGTATCTCTGTGAAGGGCCAGATCTTGGAGGTTGCTGCATTGCACATTTTCCAAGATCAAATTACAAGTTATGGCTCTCTTTTTTTTTACAAACACCAAAAGTGGTTGCGCAGCCAATACCAGCCTGGATACTACAAATTAAATTTTGAATTTGTCTTCACATTATTCTTTCATTTTTTACATTATATTATTACTAATGTAAGATCCTGCCTTTATATGGAAATAGCATTTAGAGACTTAATAATTAATTTGCTCTTGTCAAGGATTAGATGTAAGGATTAGATGCTGCTGCTGCTTCATTTTACTCTCAAGTATATGCGTATCAAAAAATTGTGTGGCTTGTTTAAAACAATGTTGGATCTAATCCTGTAATTAATATAAAGTACAACTTTTTAAAGGCTATTGCTGCCAGTTTCATGTTTGGTAAATATCATTCATATCTCTATATTTATTTCCCAAATCTTGCTAATTTTTTTCATGGGTTAAGTCATGTCAAATTTCCATAATAATCTTAAGAACATTTTTCTAAACTTTTGCTGAATTAGATGGTTAGATATTAGACATACAATAAGGAATTTACTGGAATGGACTTCTGAGCAATCTAAGGTATGATACAATCTTAACACTGCTGAATACTTTCCCCAACATTAATACCTTATCACCTATGATCAAATTTAAATGTGACAGCTTACAAACCACTGATGCATTTAGATACTGCAGAAATATATTGGAAATTTTAGAGAGGCAAAATAGAGTAGACTTAATAGCATAGACTGATTTCTATTCTGACACTCTCACCTAAAATCTATAAAATGGGGTACTAAGAATTTACTTAATCCTTATCTGAGTCTAAAGTGCTTCCATCTTTTGATTCTCTCCAATACCCACTGTTACTTTTACTGGATAAAATCACATACAGGTTCCTGAACAGCCTGCTGGTTTCTCACCTCAGCACCTTCATTGTTTTCTGTTCCTATTTGAGTCTTTGTCTTCTTAGTCAGCTGGGTTATCTTTCAAGACAAAATTTGCCTATTTTCTTTTCTGTTAAGTCTTTGACTAAAGAGTAGACAACTCCTTTTTTTGTGCCCTTACTTATCAAATATTACAGCTCTTTCCACACTACATAGTTATCTTGATTTAATATGCAAGTCTTTCTCTCAGATTTGTGCACTCTTAGAATTTAGTAAGTGCTGGACAAGTGCCGTTTCTCTCCTAGAATGTGTTGGATCAGTTATCAATTGCTACACAACAAACCACCTAAATTTGTGACTGAAAATGACACTAATATGACTGGATGATATTTTGATTAGTCTCCTTTGTACTCACTCATGTGGCTGCAGTCAACTGGCAGCTTGGCTGGGAATAGATCATCTAATGTGGGCTTACTCATGTGTCTGGTGCCTCAGTTGGGATTGGAATGACTAAACTTCTTTCTCTTTGTGTCTTTCACCTGTGAGTTTTCACATGATGGTGGGCAAATTCCAATGAAGGCTCTGCTCTGTTGTGTTTGCTGATGTTCCCTCAGCCAAAGCAGGTCATGAACCAAGCTCAGCGTCAATGTGGGAGGGGACTATGAAAGGACCTGTGACTGGGTATGGTGGCTTATGCCTGTGATTTCAGCACTTTGGGAGGCTGAGGTGGGAGGATTGCTTGAGTCCAGGAATTTGAGGCCAGCCTGGGCAACACAGCAAGATTCCATCTCTAAAAAAATATAAAAAAAAGCAAGAAAGGACCCAGATGCCAGGATATGTGACTCATTGATTCACTACTGTAACAGTCTAGCATATTCATTTACCTTCATTGTCTACCTGTTAAATAACATTCATTAAAAACTCCTTTTGATTATTTTTCTTCTCCAAAACATCTTCTGGGTTTTTCTTACATGTTTCTATTACACATGGGATAGTCTTCTACTATCTCTCCTGGCAGCACTAGTGAGGTGCACATTAAGAACTTGAAGGATGCATTCATTTATACTGTACCTTGTTCCAAAAAAATGTGAGGTATCAACTTGGAAATAGGGGACATAGGGTCGCCTTGGAAATTTTAACTGTATAATTTATTGTATAGGATTTAATACATGTTGCCTCCTAGGTCAAGTCAGTGCTATTGAAGGTAATAAAATATCCAAAATAAATATATTACTTTTTAAATTTTGATTTTGAGAAGATAAAAACAAAAACTCCAGTACCCTATATAAATAAGGGTTCAGGGAGTAGAGCACATTTATGTGCAGTGGGAATGAAATTGTTGCAAGTGTTCTATAAAGCAACTTGGCAGTCTATATTAAGACCTTAAAAAGTTCATATTGAGTCAAGTCCAACGGTCTTACTTTTAGAAAATTATTCTAAGGGAATATCTTAGATAGACAGTTATGCACAATGATATTTATTGCTGCATTATATAGGCAGACAAAAGTAAAAAAAAATCCAGATAGGGACATGATAAAGTTATGGAATAGCTCTATAGTGGAATATTATGCAACCGGTAAGAAGTTATCTGTAGAAAATAATTATAATGACTTAGAAAATTGCTCATGGTGTACAACATAAGTGATTGCAAGGTATAAAGAGGATTAATTACATTCTATAAAACATTGTATGTAGGAATGAGTGTGTGCGTGTATGTGTGTGCAAGAATGTGGTCAGTGAACAACAACTATATTTAGCATACTCTTCTTCACACTGCGATGTACAGGGAAAGAAGACATGGTTATTTCTCTCACTCTGCCTACAGATTACTGGGGAAGACATGCTAAAGAGCACAGATGCTCATTGGAATAACAGCCAGATTTGATGTGGAAAAGGACTAAAAAGAAAGTGGAGTGAGGAAGAAGTTTGTTGATTTGAAGGGACCGAGTTAGGGAGGTAAGTATTTATCTGGGGTAGGGGAGAATTGTAGGTGTAAGAGATGGAATGACTAATGTAAATGAGCTAAAAGTATTTTTAAGAATTTTCACTGCTGAGCGCAGTGGCTTATTCCTGTAATTCCAGCACTTTGGGAGGCTGAGGCAGGCAGATCACCTGAGGTTGAGAGTTTGAGACCAGCCTGGTCAACCAATGTAACGAAACACATCTCTACTAAAAATACAAAAGTTAGCTAGGTGTGGTGGTGCGTGCCTGCAATCTCAGCTACTTGTGAGGCTGAGACAGGTGAATCTCTTGAACCCAGGAGGTAGAAGTTGCAGTGAGCCGAGATTGCGCTACTGCACTCCAGCCTGCGTGACAGTGAGACTCTGTCAAAAAAAAAAAAAAAGAATTTCCACTAAATATATTTCTTTATCATTTTTTTGCAAGTGGCTATTAAAAATATTTAAGTTATTTTTCAAGTATTTTAGATGCAAAACTAAAATATCTTTTGGTATGACACCATGCTGGCAGAAAACGTTGAAGAGCCCATAGCTTACTGTGGGGAGACACACACACACACACACACACACACAAACTTTAGACAAATTAAAATTGAAAAATTGTTGCATAACAGATATACATAGTTTTGGAGGCACATATGACAATGTAATACATTCACATAATTTGTAAAGATCAAATCGGCGAAATTGGGATATCTGTCACTTTAAATATTTGTCTTTTCTTTATGCTGGAACTATTCAACTCTTCTCTTCTAGCTGTCTGAAATGTACAATAGATTATTATAAACAATAGTTAACTCACTAATTTATCTAACACTGGGTCTTATTTCTTCTATCAAACTGTAATTTTGTACTCATTAGTTGACTTCTCTTCATCTTTCATCTCCCCACTCTTCCTGGCCTCTGGTAACCATGAGTCTACCCTCCATCTTCATGAGATCCACTTTTTTTGCTCCCACATATGAATGAGAGCATGCAATATTTGTTTTTATCTCTCAGGCCTATTTCACTTAACATGAAGACCTCCAGTTCCACCCATGTTGCTGCAAATGATAGAATTTCGGTCTTTTATATGCGCAAATAATATTCCATGGTGCATATGTACCACAGTTTCTATATTCATGCATCTGTTAATGGACATTTATATTGATTCCATGTTTTATTTTGACTATTGTGAATAGTGCTACAATAAACATGGAGTGCAGATGTCTTTCTGATGTATTGATTTACTTTCTTTTGGATATATACCCAATAGTAGAATTGCTGGATCATAAGGTAGTTCTGTTTTAAGTTTTTTTGGGAACCTCCATATTGTTCTTAATAGTGGCTGTACTAATTTACATTCCCACCAACAGTGTATGAGAGTTCTCCTTTCTCTGTATCTTTGCTAGCATCTGTTATTTCATGTCTTCTTGATAAAAGCCATTTTAACTGGGATGAAATGATAGCTTACTGTGGTTTGCTTTTCTCTGATGATTAATGTTGAGCATTTGTTCGTATACTTGTAGGCTATGTGTATTTTTTTTTTTTTTGAGACAGAGTTTCACTCTTCTTGCCCAGTCTGGAGTGCAATGAGTAATGTTGGCTCACCGCAACCCCCACGTCCTGGGTTCAAGGGATTCTCCTGCCTCAGCCTCCTGAGTAGCTGGGATTACAGACATGTGCCACTTCACTCTGCTAATTTTGTATTTTTAGTATAGATGGAGTTTTTCTATGTTGGCTAGGCTGGTCTCAAACTCCCAACCAGAGAGGATCCACTCACCTTGGTCTCCAAAAGTGCTGGGATTACAGGCGTGAGCCACTGCACCTGGCCAAGACATCTGCTGAATGTCTTCTTTTGAGAAATGGCTATTCAGATCTTTGGCCCATTTTAAAATAAAATTATTTATATTTTTTGCTATTGATTAGTTGAAGATTCTCATATATTCTGTTTATTAATCTTTTGTCAGATAGATAGTTGGCAAATATTTTGTCCCACTCTGTGGGTTGTCTCTTCACTTTGTTGATTGTGTCCTTTGCTGTGCAGAAGCCTTTTAGCTTGATGTGATCCCTTTTGTCTATTTCTGTTTGGCTTGCCTGTGCTTTTGAGATTTTACATAAAGCTTTGCCTAGACGAATGTCCTGAATGTTTTCCTCAATATTTTCATCTAGTAGTTGTATATTTTTATGTTTCAGATTTAAGTCTTTTACCCACATTGATTTAAGTGTATGGTGAGAGATAGTCTCATTTCATTTTTCTGTGTATAGTTACATAATTTTCCCAGCACCATTTATTGAAGAGACTGTCCTTTCCCCATTGTATGTTCTGGCACCTTTGTTGAAGATGAGTTGACTGTAAATGTGAGGATTTATATCTGTGTTTTCTATTCTGTTCTATTGGTTTGTGTCCGTTTTCATGCCAGTATCATGCTGATATGATTATTATAGCTTTTTAGTAAATTTTGAAGTCAAGTAGTGTAATGTCTCCAGCTTTGTTCCTTTTTGCTCACAATTACTTTGACTATTTGGGGTCTTTTGTGGTTATATATCAATTTTAGGGTTTTTTTTTCTATTTCTGTAAAAAAAGTGATTTTTGATAGGGATTGCACTGAATCTACAAATTGCCTTGGGTAGTATTTTCATTTTAATGATATTAAATCTTCCAATCTATGGGCATGGGACAGTGTCCCATTTTTTTGTGTTCTCTTCAATTTCTTTCACCAGTGTTTTATAGTTTTCCTTTTATAGATCTTCACTTTTTTAGGTTAAATTGATCCTTAGGAATTTTATATTTTTTGTAGCTAGTGTATATGGGATTGCTTTCTTGATTTATTTTTGCAGATTCTTTGCTATTGGCATATATAAATGCTACTGATCTTTGTATGTTGATTTTGTATCATGCAACTTTACTGAATTAATTTATCAGTTCTAATTTTTTTGGTGGATTATTTATTTATTTTTTCTTAATATAAGATTATGTCATCTGTAAGTAAGGCTAACTTGACTTCTTCATTTCCAATTAGGATACCCTTCATTTTTTTGCCAAATTGCTTTGGCTGAGACTTTCAGTCCTATACTGACTAAAATGGTAAAGGTGTGCATCTTTGCCTTGCTTTAAATTTTATAAAAAAGGCTTTCAATTTTCCCTTGGTCAGTATGATTTAGCTGTTGGCTTGTAATATTTGGCCTTTATTATTTTGAGGAATGTTCCTTCTATACCCAGTTTGATAAGGTGTTTTTTTTTTTTAAATAAAGGGGTGTCGACTTTGATCAAATCCTTTTTAAAGCATCTATTGAAATGATCATATGGATTTTGTTCTTCCTTCTGTTAATGTTATGTATCACTTTCATTGATTTGCATATATTCAACTATGCTTGCATCCCTGGTATGAATCCTTTTTGGTCATGGTGAGATCTTGAATTGGGCTTGCTAGTATTTTGTTGAGAATTTTTGCACTATATTTATGTGGGATATTTGCTCCCAGTTTTCTTTTTGGTTGTGTTCTTGTCTGTTTTTTTTTTTTTTTTTTTTTTTTTAAATCAGGGTAATGCAGGCCTTATAGAATGAGTTTGGAAATATTCCCTCCTCTTCAATTTTTTTTTTTGAAGAGTTTGAGTAGAATTGGTATTAGTTCTTTAAACTTAAAAATTTAATTAATGAAGATACAGTTTGGTCAGCAGGAAAAGCATGTCTTTGCCTTGGCTGGGGGTATGGTGATTGTTGTCTTAACTATTTAGGTCTTTTTCGCATCTGTCTCTAATGTGAAGGTGGATAGTTAGGTTGTTACAGTCTGAAGTCATCAAACACGTGTTGCATTAAAACAACTCCCCTAATTTTCATTCTATACTCATCTAAACACTCTTCTGAGTATAACCAAGATTGAGAATGTGGTAGATCTGTCTTCAGAAGCAGAATGAGCTGTCTGAGTCATCTCGGGTCCTCTGTCCATCATCTATAAAACAATGCTAGGTTTTACTGTAAATTGGCTAATTAAAATTCTGGGCTATACATGAGTGTTGATAAGCTCAGTTAATATAAGTTGATGTCCCGCAGGTAGATTCATGCTTAATGTGCTGAAAGAAAAAAATCAGATTCTGAATTTTCTAGGAAGCAGACCAGATCAAGTACATGAAAATTAACCAAGGTAAAACTCTTGAAAATCTTATATGGTAGCTGTTTGACCCATTCTGGTAATATATATATATTATTATATATATATATAATATATATATACTTATTATACTTATATATATATACTTATATTTATATATACATATATACTTATATGCATGCACATTTTATATATATATAATATATATATACTTATATACTTATATATATACTTATACTTATATATACATATATACTTATATGCATGCACATATTATATATATATAATATATATATACTTATATATATACTTATACTTATATATACATATATACTTATATGCATGCACATTTTTTTCTTAAAATTTTGTGATATTTACTTACTTTATATAATTTTTGTCTCTTTCTTGTTTTCCTTACCAGAGGATAAAATATTTGCAGGCAGTTACTCCTTCTTCATTTTATGTGTATATTTATCACCCAGCACAGTACCTGGTGTAAAGTAAATATTTAATCAATATTTAGTGAATGAAACCATATACATTAACTGAAGTAAATGTTCAGACATAAACATATAACCACAAGGGCAAATATAGATAGATTTTGGAAGCTTCACCCTTTTGGATTATTTATACCTAACTTTACAAACATTAGCCTAATAATCAAATACCTGAATTTGTAAACACAATTCTGTTTTCTTCCCATTCCCTATGCTGCTCTTTATGTGAGCAGTGTTTCAGAACTATCAGAGGTGGGAGATAATTAAGGATGTGGTAGGCCATAAATCCCCACCACTGCTCTGACAGAGCATTACTTGTAAGAAGTGACGGGACTAGTGGATGTAATCCAGTCTAAGCTAAGGAATGAAATCTGTCTTAAGTCTAAAGCTTAAGTCTATCCAGTGACATT